TGTATCGTTCTCACATAGTTTTATAATATTAGGCAGTGTTAAATGGTATATAACATGATGGCCGACCATGATGGCCCAAAAACTACGATTTTTGGTTGTGTCCACGATAACTTTCGAACCGCTTAAACGATTTCGCTCAAATTTGGCCAGGAGTCACTATTAATAAATACCTTGGATGTATCAAAAGTTGGGCCAAATTGGACTAGTTCATCTGGTAATTTTCGGATGTCATAGAATTTCACCCGAGGGGGGACCCTTGGATTTTTTTGGAAATTTTTTTTTTCTTGTTTTCATAGAACGGATTTTTGATTTGTTTTAACACGATTTTATCATGTTAATCCGTGTTAAATGATTTATAACACGATGGCCGACCATGATTGACTTTTTTTTCTATATTTTTTTGAATTTTTTTTTCAACTTTTTTCATTTCAAAATGCATTTTCTGGTTTTTTATATCATTTTCTTATCGTTAGCCGTGTTAAATGATTGGTCAACCATGATGGTCTTCTTTTTAATTTTCATTTTCAACTTTTTTTCATTTAAAAATATACTATATGGGTCATTTTACATGATTACTTTGAGGACATCAACTTTAAAAAAATACTTGTGCGGAAAAGTCCGTTTTACGCTCGTAAAACTTTTTATTTTTATTGAGTACATAGTAGGGAACAAAATAAACAAATGCACGAGCGAAAAAAGTGTCCAAGATGCGTCTAACCATGTTCATTTTTTAAATAATTACATTTGTGTCCAAAAAATAATTTCATTACAGAAGTAAACAACGTTGAATCAGAGCAAAAAATTTAAAACCGAGGCAGTTTTTTTTGTTTTACTCTTGCATATTCGAAATGTTTCACTCTTTCACTTTCTCAATTATGAAAGGTGCATCTAATTAGACTAAATTTTGCCTGCAGAGAAGTCCTCGGAATGTACTTCAATCGAAAAGATCTCTTCTGTTCCTATCGAAGATTTTGACTATGCTCTTGTACTTACCCCAAACAAAATTTCAGTTGGCTCTATGTTTCCCTTGCTCCGCTAAATTCCTACATTCAAGTAGATGATTGGAAGAAGTAATGGCATGAAATGAAAGTGCCGAGTTTGTTTTTTTATCAACGGAATTTTTCATGTTCATTATCCTTAATGATCTACTTAATTTTTTGACTTGATTTGTATGTTTCGAATTTCTTCATGTTATCATCTCCATTAACCGGATTACTCGGGATTACAAAATCAAACAAGCTTTGTTTTTAAAAAAAGGAACAATTTATCTAGCTAATAATAGATTTTCTTCCTGTTATTTTTTTGTCGATTCGTTCTGAAGAAAATATGTGTATGTGTATGTGTAGGTTTGTGTGTTGACGTTGCAAAAGCAGACATAACGAAGCAAACGATATCAATTCATTGTAAGTTTACATGGTACCATCGGTTTTTTGGATTTGTATTTTCATTTCATTATTATTATTTTTTTGCTTTGTTTTGTGTTTCTTCGCAAAAAAAAAATTTGCTAATTGTCATCTATTGATTTGTGTATAATATTTTGGTATATTCTGGTAGCTCAGTTCAAAAATAACAATAAATTTTCCTATTAAGCACTCATTACGCTATTTTATTTAAATGGAATCTCTATTGTACCTATCTATGGACGTAGGATGGCTCAAAAAAAAAGTGCCAATTTTTTGGCGATTGTCAAGCTTCAATTGCTAAATTGCCTAAAAAAAATTGGATTGGAGTGAATAAATTGGTGGAGAGAGATATCGAAAACCCACTGCAATTGTGTTGAGTGGTTTGAAAAGCGATTTTTGTCCCATATTCAATGGTTTTCTGCATATGATAACCTCCCAAAAAAATGTTCAGCGTCGAATTTTTGGTGGAAAACGTCTAATTTTGTCATCATCATCAGAGAGAAGTAATGATCCAAAATGAATGAAAGTCACTATGCACCAGATTTTGACTTTTGCTTGCAAACTCGCATCCAAACCATCAGAAATGTGAGAAAAAATCGTTTTCAAAACCACTCGACAAAATCTGCTGTGGGTTTTTGATACGCTATCCACCAATTTATTCACTACAACTCTATTTCGTTGAGACAATTTAGCGATTAAAGCCAATCACCAATAAATTGTCACGTTTATTTTTTGGGCCACACTACTATGGAGTATTCGTCATATATTATTTTCTTTTTTTTCTTATTTGTTTCTTTATTTCATTTACTATGTCACGTTAATATTATTATTATTAATATTATTATTATTAGTTGTTGTTGTTGTTGTTGATTTTTTTTTCTTTTGACAGACTTTTAACTTCTTTGTTATGTTTTGATAAGTTATCTACACGTTCTGCGTTTCGTTTGTTTGTTTGTTTGTATGTGAGTGAGTTAGAGTGAGTGTATGCAAATTGTTTCCATTCTTTCGACCCATCGATCGTAATTTGTTATTTGATGGATGATTTTATTGCTGTTGTTATTTAAATATATTCTCTGATTTTTCGTCGATTTGTATGTTTCGATTCAATTGTGAGCGCGCATGTATGTTTGTATGTCTTCGGATTTTCATATGAATATGGTAAATTGTAAAATATGCTTATAAAAAATAATAAAAAAAAATTCTTTTACAATAACTTAAGACTGATTGGTTCAATTTCATTTGTTTGTTTTTTTCTTCCATTGTTTTTATTCATCTGTTTTATAAGTAGTGGTGTTTCTTTCATTTTATTACGGAACTACGAGTAAATAATAAATGTACACGTTTTTTTTTCTTCTTTATTCATCGATAGTGCAAAATATCTGAAATGTATATACGGTGGCTGCTAGCCACTGGCTAGTGTATGAAAATTTACAATTACACTCACATAATACCGTTTATTATTTGCATTTTTCGTTTGTTTGTTTCGAATTTTCGCACTAAAATGCAATTGTGATCAGATGCATTTCGAAACACACATCAATACATTGGAACTTTAAACAAATTTGCGCTAGAAAATATATCCCGAATTTATACTATTTGAATAGCAATTGCAAATTTTCATGCGCAAACCGTTCGCGCGAGCGCGCTTTCGCTTCAAAATCAGTATATATCTCGCCAAAGTTCTGCGCTGTCTGTGACAGATTTCATGCATAAAATTGTTTCTTCTTTTCTTCAAAAATTTTCCCGTTTTTTTTCTTCTTCGCATTGATTTTAATATTCTCTTTTTTATGTTCAGTTTCGTTTGTTATATTTTCCATCTTTTTCGTTTTTCCTGTATGCCATGTTGAGTTATCTAGTCTTGTCAAAAACAAAAAAAAACATTATATGCTAAACACCAAGTCGTCGTTTGATGCAACGACGATCCACAAAAATATACACTCATTGTTAAACTCAATAACATTGTATTTACACAGTTTTTCTTTCATGTGTTACATGATTTTACACGATTTTTTTTATCGGTTTAGTTTTACTCTTTTTTTTCCTCTCCAAGTGACGGTTGCCAGTGTCCCCTAGAAACACATGCACATCATCTACTTAAGATCGGTTTTAGTTTTTCTTTTCTTGTGTTGGTTTTATAATTAGTTATTTACAGCTAATTTGCTCGTTTGTCTTTTTAAAATAAAAATATTATGATTTCAGTTGTTGTTGTTTTCTTTTGCTTGTTTTTCATTTTACAGGATAATTAATATCGTATGAATATGCAATTATACGGAAATCATTGTTGCTTTTTGTTTTGTATTCAGGTTTGAATAAATGTGGCAAAATTTCTAATCCAGACCGATTGACTGCGAAATGTTCGGACGGGGCTCAAAATGAGATGCTCGGAAGTCAATTTCGGATGAAAATTAAAAGACGCAGAACAAATTTGTAATTAAAACGAAGAAAGAAGCAAAGAAGTAAGAGAAAACAAAGAAAACCAAATGGTTTTTGCTTTGTTTCTTCTTCTGTTTTCGAAGATTTTAAATCAAGATAATAAATTTTTCATCTAATCATTTTAGATTTTAGTGTTTTGTTTTTTGATAACCTCAAAAAAAAGAGGAAGCTTAAAGAAAGAGCAAACATTATGACTTGTATGGGTTTTTTCCTCTGGTTGTTTGTTGCTATCTGTTTATGTTCAGTTTTAGTGTTCAACTTCATTTTAACTAAACAATTGGAACTCCTTGAACTTCCATTATTTCATCTTGAGGTGATGGCCGTGCAAAGGGTTGTAGATGAGGTGGCGTTTGTTTTGATGTCATACCGCGCTGTGCGAATGGCGTACATCCGGGCTGAAGTGGCTGCCCTGGTTGATGGCCTGGCTGTAGACCGGGTTGTAGACCGTGTCCCGGTTGCATTCCAGGCGTTAATCGACATTGATCATTTTGGTGAACATAACGAGGGCGACGTGGTGAACGAGCTGTGGGCCGTGGTGGTTTATTCATCTCTTCCAAAACGGATGGTGCGACATATGTGAAACCCTATACATATTAGAGAACCATTAAAACCTGCTCTCTTTCCGTCTTTCCTTTTCATGGCAAAATAAAATTGATGACAACTTACTTGAAATATCGAGTTTTCGCTTTCACTCAATGTCGAAAATACGGGCGAATCGACTGGAATTTGTTTGGTAAACTTGGTATCGAATTGGGACACATCGTCTTCACTTCTCAGAATTGGTTTGATTGGCGGTTCCAAGCGTCTGGCTAGCACATCATCCCAGTTGACAAATTTGAAGAATGGATGCGCGCGAACCGCTTGACCATCATACGCATCGGCACCTAAGCGTAAATTCACTTGACGCTTCATCAGTCTACGTATCAAATCACGTGCATCAGGTGTGAGATAAGCGGGTAAATTTAATTTACCGCGCAATATTGCTTCAATTGTTTTTTTACGATTTTCCGCAGTGAACGGGGGCTGAAGGTGTTGTTTGTTGTTCGTTGAAACAAAGAATGCAACAGATTATTTCATTTGGTACCGGTAAATCAGTGAAAATTTGCTAGACACATACCAATCCTGTCAGCATATCATACATAAGAGCACCTAATGACCACCAATCGACCGCTTTTCCATGACCGCTACGCGTCAAAATCTCTGGCGCCCTATTCGATAGAATAAATAATGAAACAAAACGATTAGTTTTTTGTTTTGTTTAACAACGCTATTAAATTATTCTGTGCGACTTTGGAAAGCAATTAAATCATTAATCATATATGCACGCGCACACACAATTATTACTTGTTTGAATACTTGTTTCGTTTTTGTGTTTTCACTTCTACTTACATATATTCGATCGTTCCGCAAAATGTATGGGTTACGATACCTTCTTGTATATGTTCTTTACATAGGCCGAAATCGGTTAATTTTACGTGACCTTCGGCATCCAATAAAATATTTTCTGGTTTTAAGTCTCTATAAATAATGCCAAGTGCATGCAAATGTTCCAACGCTAATATGATCTCGCTTAGGTAAAAGCTAAAATGGACGAATTGAAAATCGATAAGCATTCGGTTTCAGGGTGCGACGATACATAGTTTGTATGGCATGTAATTTGAATGCAATAGTTGCATTTTACGGCGAATGACATTCGATAAGTACTTACCAAGCTGTATCTTCTAAAAAAATTCCCTCGCGTTCGAGGTGCATAAATAATTCTCCGCCACTTAAGTATTCCAAGATGAGATAGAGCTTTCCATCGGTTTGAAATGCATAATTGAGTTCAACAATAAATGGATGCTGTAACATTGACATGATATGACACATTTTAGTTAATGAATGGCTCGTTTTTTTCCTTCAAATAGACATCGGATTCGAAAGGAAATATATGTATGTGTTTGAATTGGAAATCAGTGTGGTTACCTTGACGGCTTCTAATATGTTGCGTTCGGCTCTTGTGTGTGCTGTGTCTTTTTGTGTTCGTAGTATTGATACTTTTTTCAATACTTTCATCGCAAAGAATTGGTTCATATCACGACCACTTGTTTTTCGGACCTGTTCGAATGGGGCGTATGAATAAATTTCAATTGATCGTTCTCATTTTGAATGAAGTACTTGCAGATTCGCTTTAAAATAATTGAAATGTTTGTTTTATTCACCTGGAACACTTTTCCATAGCCACCTTTGCCCAACACTTTTTTCAATTCGAAATCTTCTGGTCCTAATTTTGATGTGCCGGGATTTACGATTTCTTGGGACAATTGGATTTTTTCCATTTCGCTACCTTCCACACTGCAAATAAAGAAATAAAATATTTAGCATATTTTCAACGTTCATTCAGAGCACTTCGATGGCTCAGAATGGAATTTAGTTTGATTGATTTATTTTCTTCTACTTACTCGATGCCATCGAATCGTAGTTCTGGTTCGATATCACCCTGTACCAAAATAAAAGATCAAAATTCATTAATCGATGTGACAAGCCGTGTTTTGACAAAACATTTTTAATCTGACGAATTTCTAACAATAGAAACCATGTCGTGTTTATCATTTATTATTTTAATTACTATGGAGTACCCCAATACGAGACTTTCCTGGAGGTAAAAAATTATTCCATAACAAAATGCGTGATCACATCAATTTTTTTTCGGGAGATAGATAGCAGCACAATTGATACGAATTTTAAAAATTTACAATAATATATAAATCATATTCTCGCCTATCTCTACACAATGCGAAAGATATATATGCATGAATCATGTAGCCGATAAGAGCAACAGTGCGACAGAATTGAAAATAAAACGGCAAATAGTAGATACACACACAAAAGGTCAGCGTTGGACGGCAGCTGTTACGAGATGTGTGCAATATAAACAAGAATGTTTGTCTCCCCAAATCGGTGGCAATTATAAACAGGAAATTCCGATGATTCTTGACTAAATACCATTCGGAGAGCCAATTTGATTTGTTGACTTGTGCTGATTCGCATGCACATACAAGAACCGAGTATTTTTGTACACATGAGCAATATCATTCGGTTGGCTATCTATGACAATGCACGCGTGCTCTCTCTTTCCCTCTGTCTTTCGCTACCTGCTAATGTCAAATGGAATCGTGCAAGTTTGGCAAAGCGATAATAATATTTATTTGCGATGATGTGTCACACAAACGAAATGTCACTATCCTGTCGATCGGAAGGGATTTTTGAAATTTTCTACAACACAACCCGTTTCAATCAAATTTCAAGATCATTCATGTTAAATAATCGATTCAATGGCCATTAAATTCGCAAAAGTCGAACGCAATTACACCGCTATATATTTTCATAAATGAATGTAAGTGTTTATATTTGCTGCTTTTGATAAGAGGCCAATATTATCAGTTGATTTCCTCTTTATTTTCCAGCCAAAAAAAAAAGAGATAAGGAATTCGTAAGGTCGGTGCAGAATATCCGCCATAGAATCGATGAATTCGCAAAAAGGATTAAATTATTTAACATTTTTCATCGCAGGGACTTCGATAAGACAGACAACGAGTAATTCTAACTGTAATTCTTATCGATACTATTTTTGATTGATCGCTAGTGGAACACAGGAAACCCCCCTCGCTAATTTTTTTTTTTAGTAAAAGTGATTGACGATTCAAAAATCGAGTTTCGAAGAATGAATTTGCTAGAAAATAAAATACCGCGAAATATATTCTGATATCAACAGCAGTGTTTAGATATTGAATTTGCTCTCGAATTAGATAGTGAACATTTTCTCTCCTCAATCTGACTGAATACTTCATTATTCTATGAAATGCAGTGGAAAAAAAGCCATTATCGTTTTAAAAGAGGGAAAAAAAGTGTCAGACAAACTCGTGTTCAAAATTGCTGATTTGACTTTATTGTTCGGGTCTTGAGATTTCTATTGATTATTTCTCTACATATACATTGTTTGGAATTGTTTTCGTTTTCTTCTTCCACTTCTACATCGGGCAACGAAATATATTGTACAATATTTACAATCATAAGATGAACGAGTTCGCTCTTTGTCATTTTCACAATTCGGCGAGACAAACGTGTGTATAAGCGAATTTCAGACTCGTTTGTATATCGATATGACAAAAAAAGAAGAGTATATACCCCGAAGATTGAGCAAAGGAAAAAATTGAAGAAAAAAATAAGAAGAAGAAGAACTGGAAGAAAAATTCGCATGCTGTTGCTGTTTGGTTCTTGTATGTGAGAGATGTACTGATAGGTTGGAGAACGGGTATGAGAGAAGCTGACTCTTTCTGACAGCGCAATGACGACATCTGTTGCATAAAATATTTATCAAATGCCGATTTGCACCGAAACCCACGTGGTTTATTTGTATTGCATAGTTTTTTTTTCGTTTCTTTTGTTTTTGTTAACGATGAGAATATCTATTGTCTGAATAACAATGATAATCGACACGAAATGTCGATAAATATACGGACCGATTGAGGCGCACAATTTTCAATGAATCAAGTGTATTGATAACATACAGCTGTGCATGCAAATTGTATATGTGTATAATGTGCCATTCAGTTTTATTTCTTTTTTCACTACCTCAGTGCCGCCAATAAGACACCGACAAAAAAAAACGACAGCTACTGTCGCTGATTTAACACATTCAAAAAAAAAAAAAACAAACAAAGCAAAAAATGGGTTTTAACCATACCATTTTGACCGATTGGAATGTCTTTCTAATGTGTTTGTGCAGACCATTATCTTCGTATTTGAATCATACTATAAATGAATATGAATTCCGTAAAATTTGTCGAACGTACTATGCCAGTATTAAATAAATAATAGAAAAATGAAACTTCTTATTCTGACATAAAATGCATAATAATTTTTCAATCATTTTTTCAATGTCAGAATAAAAAGATTCGAATTTTTCATTATTTATTCAAATGAATATGTTAAAAAGGAACGGAGAAAGAGATAAACATAACAAAGCAAAGAAAAAACTTGCGATCGTAAGCAGTGAAAGTATGAAACATAACCGATCCAAGGAACTAATTCATGGTTTTTTAAACCCATTACCAATAAAATACATATATACACACATGTATTTTATCTACACATATGCAAACCATGGTGTCGGCGTGATTTGAGATTTATTTCGATTTAAAAATTCTCGATTTGTATTTGAGAGAGTGAGCGCAAAAAAGGGGGACAGTTTTTTTTTCCTCGCAGACAGACACCGAAGAAGAAGAAAATATGTAAATAAAAAAGAAATACAACGTGAGAGAACCAATTTCAAAATGAAACATAAACAAAATATCATTTGTTTTCCTGTGACGTCTTTCAAAATACGATTTTTTTTTCTCTCGATGTGTTTGAGAAATGCGTTATGAAATGTTTGTTTATGTTTTTGGAGGAAGAAAGAGAGAAAGAGAGAGAGCGAGATAGAGGGACAGAAATATTTCTTTGCAATGCAGTCGAAACAAATCCGATCGTCGTTGTTTTTGAAAGAGGTGAATGTACATTCAAATTTCAACAAATTTGTCTGCTTCACGCATTCATGTGACAAATGGGGTTTTGATTTTAAAATTAGTGGAGATTTGGTTTTTCTTTTCAAATTAGCAACAAACGTGTTTCATTACCTCGTCAACTTCGATGATGTCGTCGTCGGAGTCAGGTGCTCTGTTTGGATCATCTTCATGTATATCATGTAGTTCCAATTCAAAAACGTCAGCCATAATAATGAATTTTGAATTTGTCCACACCGTCAATCTCTATTATCAAAAACGGTTTTTTATGTGTTTCTGTTTTTGTTTTTCCGCTGAATACGCGTTACGTATTCCGTGTGTCTCACTTTGAAACGTATTTATTTCTTTCGTCGCACCTTTCTTCACTGTACAATACCACACTGTGGGTTACAGTGTTTTTGATGGTTTTTTTTCTTCTTTTTTTCCTCTGTTTTATCAAGTTCTGCACTTTTATTAATTAAATACGTTCCATACGCGCCCGTGTGCTTTCATTTGTGGGTATACATTTATTTTTTATGTTAAAATATATATATTGTTAAGCATTGGCGGGTTCCTGGTTTCTAAAAATAATTATGATATTTTGGCACTCTAGTTAGTTATTGGGCTTCCATATTTTGTTGCTGTTGTTGCTGTTGTTATCGTTATTTATTTATTTTTTATGTCTTTTTTGCAATAAATTACTTGAATTCTCTCGTGATTTCTCTCCACACATCGTGTGGCTTCCATATTTCACGGCAAGTGACTTGAAATCATGATTGATTATTTCTTTTTTTTCGAATTAGATCCAATCGAAATGCTGCTTTAAACATACACACACACACTTGATGCGTATCAATGAATGGCTATTTCCGTTTGATATCTGATAAAACTTTTAACAAACAATACTTTTGGCAACTCGTTTCAAATTTGAATAAAAAACATACTCTCACACAAACACGCACACAACGAATGACATTATTGGTGGCGTAGCATTTGAATGGGAATTCGAAAGATATCAAAAGCCCATCGGAGCGAATGTGGAATATGGGCAAAACAAAGTCAATGTATCAATTTGAAATGTTTGAAAGTGATAAGAATTAGCCAATGATTACAGTTTCATGAAAAAATTGGGTCGACCGCACAACATTCTTCATGGAAACCGTTAGAGGTGAAAGGATATGAATATGAAATGGTGTTCATGCTCAAGTTTTTCATTTACAATGTACGATTCTGCCTCTCTTGTTTTCAATATAGTCATTGATGTAACGAAAATCGTTTGAAAAGAAAAAATTAAACGTGCATAACGAAAGAGAGTAGTGAATGCAAAAAAAAAAACAACAGCACCACACTATATTAATGCAAGGATAAATTGTGCAAAAACCTTGTTGAGGTTTCAAACCTTCGAAATATTGCAAACATTGTTTTGATTTGATACATGTCAAGAAATGAGTTGTACGAGTCAAGTTTCTAGAGCGCGCGATCGGTCTGTGTTATCGGTGCTATCGATGACAATAAAACGATACTATTGATAGTTAATGTTTTTTATGATCCTTTATGGTCATTTAACTCAATATATTTATCAATAAATAAAACATCCGAACGAACACAAGCAACAAAAAAATCTATCATTTCGTGTTCATTCCAACAAAAATGTGAAACGAAGCAAAATCGTGGAAAGAGACAGGCACAAAAATTATTATGTCTTAAAATTCGAAATGGATGGCCAATTCTTGTGGCAATCAAGATATGTTAATGTATGTGTGTGTGTGTGTTTTACTCTTGTTTTGTTATAATTCGCATGATTAGAACATTCGAAAAAAAAAATATTTATATTTATATACATATTTATGTATATAAATTGAAAATATATATATATTATATTTGGGTGCACTTTGTGTATGCTTAGTAATTTACACGCGCGCAAGTTCAATACTCACACTATCTCACATAAGCCGTACGGAAAAACGAACGTGAGAGAAAAAAAAAACTATTTAATTCAACCTCACCACACACAGTACTGGCAACGTTAAATGAAAGCAACTCGCACACTTGTAAATAAACATTAAAATTTCGATGTGTGTTGTATAACTCAATTTTCGATTCCACAATCCACGCACTATATACTATAACCAAATAGAACACAACAGAAAAACGTCAAAACCCGAAGTCGAAAATAAAAGGGCAAAATAAAATCCAAATTTTATGCATTTATCAACGAAAAACAATGAATTTTTGCTTGCAATTTTCGACTGTAAATTTTATCTTGCGTTTTTTTTCATTAAATTTTCTTCGTTTAAATAGAATGGAGTCCTTGATATTAGCAAAAATCTGTACTATGTGTGAATGTTATTTACAAATTGTGTGAAATATTTCGTTTAAGCACTTCGATTTTTCTTATGAATTTGCTTATATTTTTTGCAAATTTTCATCATTTTACACCGAAAATACACACATCCATCTGTATTTTCACAATTTTACGACACTTTCCAATGTATATTTCACTCGGATGATTTGTTTTGATTCTTTTTATTTGGCAGCCTTTCTATGAAAGGGCACATAAAAACGCGTGTTTTCGTTCCGATAAACCTCACTAATCTAAATTCATTTAATCATACTTCAATGGAAATATTTTGCAGTGGCAGCATTCAAATACACTGCACGCGTATAATGGCCTACTTTTTGGTTGATTTTTTTTTTAAGTTTCTGCGTGTGGCAGCACTTCCTAACTTGAATTCTTCAGAAAGATATGATAATAAAAACACATTGAAATGGCCCATTTTTCGGGTGAAAAAAAAAATTGGATTCATTCATTTTTTTTCTTTTCTAATTGGCAAAATTATGCTTATCCAAATGATTGATGCATTTATTTTGGTGATTCAATTAATAAATTGTAACCGAAAAGGAAATGAACATTTCGTCATGACAAGGAAGTGAATGGGGCGCTCGATAAATTCGGCAAGTTAACAACAGATGGCTACACCATACACCGTATGCATTTCATTAGATTTCATGTGGATAGATTTCGCAGACAAACTGATCCGAAACGATGTCAAGTTTCTTCTTTATTGTATTTTCGGACCCGGTTACCATGTTCGTTGCCATTGGTATGCGTTTGCATGTAATGGTATGCTCTCGACGCGCTTTATATTTAGCATCTGTTTCCTTCTGCATTGTTGTGAATGACTGACTATTATGCTTTACAGTATCATTCGTGTTGCATCGCAAGTGCCTGAAATAAATCATTTTTTCAAGGGTAAAAAGTATTTGGTTTAAGTGTTGAGAGCGGTTTCACCAGAACCATTTTCGCTGAAGCAATCACTTTTTTGCGATTGTTTGATGTACCGAGAAGCAATGTTTTGATGGCAGCGTGTTGTTTATATAGACTGATAAAACAATGAATCCGTTTACACGAGTGGCAAATTATGAAGAGCTCAACATCATTGGAACCGGTGAGCATAGTGCAACATTGTATTTCCGTGCAAGTGGTTATCGAATGTGATGGTTTATTGTTTTTTTTCTTCGATTTTAGGTGCATATGGAACGGTTTATAAGGCAAGAGACTTGAAAAATCCCGGAAAAATTGTTGCTCTGAAAAAGTAAACGCTCAAGAACATTTGAAATATAAACAATAGTTTATCAACGTTCTTTTTTTGATTATAGAGTACGTGTGGCCTTAACTGAAGATGGTGTTCCAATGTCAACACTACGTGAAATTGCTCTGCTAAAGCAGTTGGACGCATTTAAACATCCGAATATTGTGAAGTTAGTATTGATTTTGTTGATGATCGGCAATCACAAATCGAAACGGATTTGATTTACACCTGGCGTTTAATTAACCTTTGTTGTAGATTGCTAGATGTGTGCCATGGTCAACTGGAACGAGAGCGTCAGCTGGTGTTATTTTTGGTGTTTGAGCATTTGGAAGAGGATTTAGCAGGTTATCTAAATCGAGTCGGTGATCGTGGCATGTCACCAAAAACAATTCAGGTACTTATTTTATCATGAAATTTTTTTTCGATATTTTGAGTGGCAGTCAGAACGCCCCGGACGGACAGCTTGCTTCTGTGATTTCTATTACATTAGAGTATGCTGTCCGTCCGGGACGTTATGACCGTCACTCGATATTTTTCTAATAACCTTAATATCATGTGGATTTTTTTTTTCTTTTTTAACCTACAATAGAAATTCGCCAAGGAGCTCATGACTGGCGTTGATTTTCTTCACACACATCGTATTATTCACCGTGATCTTAAGCCACAAAATTTACTGGTTTCAGCCGATGAACATATCAAATTGGCCGATTTCGGTTTGGCAAAGACTTATGATTTTGAAATGAAACTAACCTCTGTGGTATGTACAAATTGTCGGTCTATTTTTTGTCTAGCGTTTCGTATCATAATTTACATTTTATAGGTGGTTACACTGTGGTATCGTGCTCCGGAGGTATTATTGAATCAACCATACAACAGTGCCGTTGATATTTGGAGCTCGGCCTGCATCATTGCTGAATTGTTTTCCCGACGTGCCTTATTCCCAGGATCATCCGAGCGAAATCAGCTTGAAAAAATATTCACGTAAGTTTTGAAACGATTGATTTGCCATTTTCAAATCGAATATCAATGTTTGATTCCAACAGGTTGACCGGAACACCGCGACACAACCAATGGCCAAGTGAAATTCCGTTACTGAGAGATCATTTTCCACATCGGTCCCAAAAACGACCAATCGATCTATGTCCAGAACTCGATGAATACGCTAACGATTTACTAACAGTAAGTGACTAAGGCTCTGACGAAACAAAAGACACATTTATTCAACGAATTACTTTTATTTTTTTAGCAAATGCTTGTGTTTGATCCATGTCGAAGGCCACCTGCCATTGAGTGTTTGAATCATATGTTTTTCCTACAAGAACCCATCTAAATCTCAAGACAAGAAGTTGATTTGTAGCATTTATACACGTTTAGCATTTATTTGCCTTTTTTTATATTGTAAGCATTTTTCTTTTACAAATGACAATAAATGGCTTTATCTAGCCAACATTTTCAAATGACATTGTCTTTTTATCTTGATTCCGATACAGTTGAAATTGGCATATACCATACAAGTGCCACATTGTTAATGCTATCATGAAACCTCATCTAAATAAGTACTTTAATAAAGTTCTGATCCTCACTCATCGGTAATAAGCAAAAATTCAAGGATTGATCATAATGCTCGTAGGAGCATACCGATTTTTTTAACGATTTCAAATCATATTGATCATCCTCTCCACTATTGGGTTTTTGATTTGCCATATTCAATTTTGTTTGTGAATGAAATACAAATAAAAACCACATCAAAAAATTTGAATAGTTCAATAGTGTGGTGATGCTAGAGTTGAAATACTGTTACGGTTCGAAATCGGTTTCAAAAGTGTGACACAAAATAATATTTCACACACTCTTTGAAACACACAAATACAAACATTGCTTTATCGATAATAATCATCAATATACCCACAAGTGTTTCGAATCTTGACAAATAGTATGGTTTTCATAAAATTCGCGGTTGCCATGAAGAAGATAAGGGAAAAAATTAAGCCATGTCCAAAATCTACCGGGTCTTTTGTTTAGAAAAATAGCTGTAAAGTATCAATAATTAGTCGAGATAGGTCAGGTACTATTATAGATAATTTTCCCAATTATGATAGCGATATTCCATATCCGAAATTGGTTAATAATGTTGCGACTTCAGATTACGATCAATGTTCAAATTTCTTACTCTACATGGTCGGTCAGAATGACTATCGCTTATATTTTAAAACAAAAATAAGATGACCGACGTTTTTTTTAGTAAAACTTGTACAAATGAAATTTACACGAAAAAAAACCATATGTCGAACTTTGATTGGTTAGTGCAAAATTAGTGGAGGACCGTCCATTTGCTTCAATAAGTTCATTCCCGAGTTCCGAGTACAATTAATTTCAAATTTTGAAACGACGATTTTTTTTTCAAATAGAAAATTTAAATTGTGATTTTTTTGGCCAAAGCTGGACTTGCATGCCTTGAAGTATGGCAAGGCTAATCCAAAATAGTGCCTATATAAACGTTTCAAGATAAGATTTGAATAAATTTCCCTATTTTTAGGCGTCGCCATCAAAAAACCTGTACCCTGGCAACACTGTCAACCACATTCGTAAATGGAAGCAAATATCTGCCCGAAGCTGGCATCGAAATGTTGCGCGTGAGGGGTATAAAATGTGAATGGCGACGCCCATCAATATTTTTCGCAACAATCAACACAGATTCTGATTGCATCAACGATCACGTCTTAATTTTTGTTTGTTGAAAATTCGCTTTTAAAATGAAGTGTCTATAAAATTCGCTCAGTATTATGATTATAAGTATAATTCTTTTTCAAAAAAAAAAGAAAAAAAATGCTCGACTCGTGTTTTACTAAAGTTTGACAATTTGGACCGTTGAAGCGTTGCCATCATTCGTTTGAGGGGGATGTAAATATTGATTTTTCCCACCGAGACAGTGAAATCCCGACGAATATGAATAGCTATGCAGACATGAGTAGCTAGTGTAAATCAAGTGTGAACGAATGCATTCTCGAAATTGATGGCAAGCAATCGTGTTTTTAACAGTGATAAGATTGTCTGTAATGACTCGTCTTTGGAAAACGAATTGATAACATATGTGATAAGTTCCAAAAGAGAAGCAAACGAAAGGGAAAAACAACCAAATGAATTTAGAATTTAATTTCAAAAAATGGCGGTGAATATGCTAAACAATACACAAACAGATACAGATGCAAACGAGATAAATTTTACCGCTTTCACTGATCTTTGTCGATTCTGTTCGCTCCGTCACGGGGCTAAAATCAATTTATTCGATAAGGAAGCCGAACAACGACAAATTCTGTATAAAGTGCGCTCATTCCTTCCCGTAGCGGTAAATATATTGTGTATTCTTTAGGACATTTCATACGCGCAATGTCTGACCGCCCCCCTGCTCACAATTTTTTTTCATTAGTGTTGAATTGTTTATTTACGTCTATTTTCGTAGATATCGAAAGACGATTTTCTGCCAAAAAAGATTTGTGAACGGTGCATACTGCGATTGGAACAATTTTATGAGTGGAAAGCAATATGTGTGCAGAGCGATACAGTTCTTCGAAACTATTCTGATTCAATGCGAGCCGTTACAGCGACAATCAACTTTCAGGTATCTAATACACGAAATTAAACGAAAGTCAAGTATGAGATAATTTCCACAAATGGTGTTTGTGTTCTTATTCTGTTTTGTTATCGTTTTTTTTTTGGTGTTCATTGTGAATCATCAGGACGGAACAGTGAACGTAGATAAAATGACAACCGAACAAAAGAATTCATATTTGGAAGCACATATGGAGGTGCAACAGCACATGCATCAGGTTTCGATGCAATTAAATAAGCAAGCACAGAATCATTCCACGTCTAATAATCAAAATATGGTAAATAATCAAAGTCACAGTGCATCGCATCAAAGCAGTTCCGTTAATATTCCAAATCCGTATTTGAACTCGAACCCAATCAAGGTAATTCATAAATTAAAAATTGTGCAAATTGTGTCCGATTCAAAAAAGTTTCGTTTGAACAGGGACCGTCGACCACCTCATCGTCGGGCGTCGAAAACACATTTACCGTTCCTGACGATGTTGGCATGGGGTATGAAAGTGGCGTTCGTGTCCTGCAAAGTTTAGGCAATTGGTCACCCGATATCCCACCAAACGTTCCACGACCAAATCTAATCCCATTCATTGAACCGTATATTGAAGGTGGATCAATGCATCCGGCTAGCAGGCTTAAAGCACTGCAACAAGTTCAACAAGCATCGCAAAATACACGGAAACCATCCAAAAGTAAGTTAATGTTTATAAATAATCGTAAATCCTTTGGAATATGAGTTTTTACTGATTTTTCTCCGACATTTTACGTCTAGCGTCATCAAATAAAGCATTTGAATGCACAGTCTGTGGCAAAGCACTGGCTCGAAAAGACAAATTAACAATCCATATGAGAATCCATACCGGCGAAAAACCATATATCTGCGAGGTGAGCGATTCATCAATTTCGGTTATAATTTCTTATTGAAAATGATGTCAAGAAAAGGCAAAATTTCTCGGAAACATAAACTCGATTGGCTTCAAGGGATCAGATTCCAAAGTGAATTTTGTGATTATAAAACTGGTTCTATTTATCATTGTTTTAATAATTTTAGGTGTGCGATAAAGCGTTTGCACGTCGCGACAAGTTAGTTATTCACATGAACAAATTCAAACATGTAACGCCGACCAATATAGCGCCGTTAGGGAAGCGGCTCAATAACTTGAGTGCTGAAGGTAGGAGAATATGTGTATAAGAATGCGTGTTGACATCATAGTGATTGGGATTCAACCAGATTTTGCTAAATATCTTGCATTTTCAGATATAAAAAAGAAACCTGGAAACAATGAGAATAAACAGAACTTGATGCATTTGCATCAAGATTCTGCCGGGAATAATCTCTTGCACGGTGGCATGCACAATCAACAATCACTAAACCAGCAAGCAAACAATGGGTCTATACAAGGTCATGGTACAAATCAGCCGCTATCTTGGACATGTGAATTGTGCGGAAGAATGTTCGGGACACGAGATGAATGGTCGATCCATGCAAAAAGCCATTTAGAGGTTTGTAATTGGAATATGAAACGATTTTATCCGAAAATTACATTTTTTTTCTTTTTTTCAAAATTGCTAGTATTGACATGAGGGAAAAAGTAGCTCGATAGCAGAAGCTACGAAAACAAAGACATCATCGAATATTAAGTGTGAATTCAATTCACCAGACGATGCACGTGAACTTCCACAGGTAAAATTGAGCGATAATCCCGATAATTATAGCTCTTATTTAAGTGTAATAATCCATCAAAAAAATGTCTGATCAAACAATTTCAATTGGATTTACTGTTACAGACGCCATCTTCAGCAGCTGGCTCCAATAATTCTCAATCGCAAAATATTTCAATTATCCCATTGAACACAACCAATTACTGTTTCATATGCCAGAAAAACTTTTCAACAAGTTCGGAATTCATCGTTCACATCCGTAGTCATTTCATTACCGATCGAGTTGGAAATCTGGTGGGCGAAGAAATGACCTCAACTGATCTATTCAATCGCAATTCCATGGATTGTGCTTCGGAAGAATTATGGACCTAAAACACACAAGATGCATCGTAATTCACAGTTGGATTGTTTTTTTCCTCTTTTTCCCACAATACAATATGTGAATGGATTGACACGATGATTTTGCGCTGATGAGAAAAACAGTTTTACTTGACGATAATGATAAGAATGTCAATATATGTAATGGAAATGATTTCAGATAAAAGAAAGTAGAGACAAAGAAAAAAAAATCAAAATAAGATTACTAATTTTAAATTGATGGTCGATTTTTTGACGACGCTAAAATTCCGAAATTTACATTTACTTTTTGATGTGATCAACTCGTAGTTATTTTTACTTGTTTCACTGATAATGTCACCACATCTATTTCACGTCGATAGAAATGATTAGAGTCTAAGTCCAATTAAATTTGCTAAATATCCTTCTCTGTCAACTGATGACGATGACTTTTTATTTTCGTTTGATCAACGAAACACATTCATTATTGAAACAATGTCATTCGCATGGTTTTTTTTATTGAAAATATATAGCAATGTGCTTACAGGAAAATTTCATGCAAACATTTCAATTTAATCCATTTTTTTTTTATGAGAAAAATGTGAAATAAAAAAAGAGGAAAAACAAATTTAAATACGAATTTACGATGTTTAACAAATCAGCTGAATCGCATTGATTTACAACTTTTCGGTGAGCTCGGGCACGGCCTTGAATAAATCAGCAACGAGACCATGATCGGAAACTTGGAAAATTGGCGCTTCTGGATCTTTGTTGATGGCCACAATGGTCTTTGAATCCTTCATACCGGCCAAATGTTGAATTGCACCCGAAATACCAACAGCAATGTACAAATCCTAATGTGAAAATGATTTCATTTTAGAAACAAATTCGAAGTCAAGCCTCATTATGTTGAATTGTGCCAAAAGTTCGGCACTTTGTGAGTTTACTTACAGGAGCAACGATTTTTCCTGTTTGTCCAATTTGCAAGTCGTTTGGTACGTAACCAGCATCGACAGCAGCACGTGAAGCACCAACCGCAGCACCGAGTTTATCAGCCAAGTCATACAATAGCTTGAAGTTATCTCCTGATTTAAGACCTCGACCTAGAAATTATTGCGTTAATCTTCTTTGTGTAGAATTCAACTTGGCACTTGGTGAATGATGGATTACCTCCTGAGATGATGACTTTAGCGCTAGTCAATTCTGGACGATCCGATTTAGTGATTTCTTGTCCAAGGAACGAAGAAAGACCTTCAGTCACCTTCACTTCTGGTGCATTCTCAACGGTTGCACTGCCACCCTCTGGGGCGGCTTCAAAGTTGGTTCCACGAATGGTCAACACTTTAACTGGATCTTTTGCTTTAAGCGTTTGAATGGCATTTCCTGAAACATGAATAACGAATTGGCGTTAATAAATCGGAATGATTCAGCATGAGAACACTACTGTATTCATTTTACCAGCATAAATTGTGCGCACGAATGTGTCTTGTGATTTAATACCGATAATGTCGGAAATAGGCGACACATCAAGTTTGGCAGCAATTCTTGGTGTTACATTTTTCCCAAATGATGTAGCACCAGCCAAAATATGTGTGAATTTCAATTGATTTTGTAGCGCAACAACGGCATCGGTAACAGTTTCAGCCGTTTGTCCTTTGAATGCGGTATTCTGAGCCAACAACACCTTTGAGACTCCCTTCAATTTCGATACCTGTTCAGCGACCTAAGGAAATAAAACAGAACTTTTCTTGTAAAATCTACTACACGTCAATACAAAGGATGTAAACACTTACGGCAGCACATTCAGTGCCCGCAACCAAAACGGTAACATCACCGCCGATTTTCTGAGCTGCTGAGACGGCATTCTGTGTGATCGCAGTCAAAGTCTTTTCATTGTGCTCAGCAATGACGAGTGTACTTTGGAAACGTCGGTTTAACTAAATGAAAATGACAACAATTTAGTCCAATTCATCGAACATATGCAATCCGATTGAATGAATGGAAAATATTATGCGTTTACTTGAACGAGACGAATGCTCTGAATTTGTTTTTTAAATTATATAAAAATTTTGTTATGTTATGGACTTTGATCTGGAGACAAGATTGCGCTTCATTTATGGATATTTTTCTTCTAAATATTTATCATTAAGAGAAACCACATTGGAAGCTAACTCATTCGATTGGTTACAAAATTAATTCTATGAATAATATTCTATTTACCCGAGATGCTCCAATTAATAAATTTTTGGATTTGAACATTTTTTTTTTCTAGTTTCAACACAGATAAGCTTGATAGAGGAGTGTAGTGGCAAATATATGTGTTCACTGACTAAATCCAATACACTTTTGACAGTTTTGACAGAATCACTTTGTTCGTGTGAAGTGCTCTTGGCCTGTACTAAAAATAATATGTCACCAAACCGCAGCGCTAATGAACGCATCCATTCAGTCGACATTAAATGAACAGAACCAATTTCGAATTTGGTCAGCTAGAACAATAACGTAATAGCTCTCTAGTGCACATTCATTTGGTTGCGGTGTATCGATTGAGTTTAAGACATAGGTTTTCTCTGTCCTTTTTGCTTGAAAAAAGCCAAGAGAAGTTAAAATTCGATTTTGTATTTTTTCTTTGTTGAATAATGGATAATTCGAATTCTAATGGAACCGTAAGTTTTGAAGTATAACAAAAAAAAATCAAACGAAAATTCTGCATTTGCTTTCAAAGGTTGAATAACGGGATTCTCGTTTGAAACATCACACGATTTTATTGCAAAAAAAATGTGATTTTGAGGGAAAATAATTGATTGTAAACTTTCTATATCGTTTTTTTTCTCATTTCTGTTGAAATTATTTCTGAGTGCAATTTGGCTCTTTAGCTGTTTTTGCATTTAAAATTTTCAACAAAAAATTGTGACGAAATAATCAAGTGTTTTATTTCTTCTTTTTTTCAGCCACCGTTGTCACAAGTGGAAGTTGATTTCTTAGAAGTAATTAGAAATGAGGTGCGCCCGATTGCAAACAGAATTGTGAAGACGATGATTGCAGGGCACCTTTCAGAAGAAAAAGCAAAGAAATTGATCGAAGCGATTGGAAACATGTATGCTAATATTCTAGTTTCTATTGCTTTAATTTTATTTTAAAATTTTCCTTCTGATTTTTTTCCTCGCAGGGCGAATGCGTGCTGGAAAACATATGGCCCAGAAAAACAGCATTCACCGTGACAGTGGCAGTGGCAGTGGAAGTGGAAGTACCGCTGGGAACTAATCATTTTTCGTTGAAACAGCTGTAATTTCAAATTGAATTGTTAAAGTTGGCTATTAATTGAAAAACTGATATAACTTAAGGATGGTTGAAATGTCCGAAAAAACAATCAAAAGGAAAATCAAATAGATTTTTTGACTCATAGATTTGCAGTGGTTTTTTTCCATCTTGTTGAAATCCACAAAATCAAATTTACCGCTCTTATTTCTTCACGGCATTGATTGTCAATTATATTGAGATTATGTTCACTAAAATTGATCATTGTTTACATTTTGATTCAAATGCGAATAAAATAAATTTATAGCTCGATGGCGTTTTATAGAATGTCTTGGACAGTTTTTTTGGTTCGAGAAAGTGAAAGTTCACCCGGTCAACGGAGCAGCAGTTTGAGGTAAAATTCGTCTCATACATTTTGAATGACGACGACAACAATGCCACGGAATAATTATTGAATTTTGAAATTGGTGGTGTGTTATTTTTAGATTCGAGGGACGTGTCTACCACTATCGTATATCGGAGGACACCGATGGACGAAAATCGATGTCCATTTCATTGAATGAATTATTCAACTTGTTGAACGTTAATTCAATTAATTAATGGTTTGATTTTAATTCGCATGAATTGAATTAGGCTTGACAAGGGAAATAGCGGCATTGCGTGGAGGACGCGGTGATTCGGAGAATGAAACCGCCGATATAACGCCGGATACAGACACCGAGAGTATTGATCACATGCATCGAAATATGCACGGTTCATTCAAAAAGCCCACGCCAGTGATGGGCAATCGTAGTCTGGAGAGTCGAAACAGCAAACACCATTCACAAGCAAAGAAAGAACATATCGCCCAGTCAAATAGCAACAACATTATGGGCAGTGGCCAATCGAGTTTGGGCAAACAGCCCGTTACCGTTGGTGCACTGGAAGTGCAGAATGTGAAGCGTGCAATCAATCGCTATGGCACACTACCGAAAGGTGCCCGAATCGGTCAATATTTAGAATCACTAAAAACCAATGAAACAGACACTTCCATGGCGTCGGATCTACCGCCACCGCCGCCAATCAATTCCAGGTAAGTTTCAGTACAAAATACACATTCATAAACATCAATCCATTCTATGTCTATCGCTTTCGCCCGCTTCTTAACTCTCGCTCACCTTTTTTCAACCATATTGCATACACACATAAAACCATAGTAGCTTGAATTCAAATGCTGCAATGTCGCCTCGTTCAGCGATGAAAACTCAACCGCAAATGATTCGAAGTAATTCATCTGGTGGTGTCATAATGACCAATTCAATCAATTCGAATTTCAGTAAACTGCAACGACATCGGACTACCGCCGACGGTGTAATGATATCATTTTCATCATTCCGCAGCACGAGTGGGAGCCCAAAGCGTTCGTTTAATCCATCATTAGGTAAGGACATTTTGTTTTTTCCCTTCATTTCTTATCTCTGGAAAAATGCATGAGTTTTAATTGATTTCATCGAAATTAATGTTTGAATATTTAGCTGATCTAGAGTTTCCGCCACCGCCATTGGATCTACCGCCGCCGCCCGAAGAATCAAATGGCGACGGAATGCAAATTTCACAGTCAACAATCAACACACTATCGAATGATGTGGCAACCACTGAGCCGAGCGTTGAAGAGGCAAGCTCACGGTTTGGTGTGAGTTTGCGTAAGCATGAAGCATCAACCGATTCATGCAGTTCGCTTGGCAGTCCAGCGGCCGGAGTTACCAATGATAAAGTCAACGATAGTGCAGCCACATCGCAGGCAATTGCAAACAAGAACAAGGGGAAATTGGAAATGAAACTCGTGGCCGAAATCAAAGAACGAAATGAACAATATCAACGAAACAAACCAATTGGAGATGTGCCAAATACTAATAACTACCATTGTAGCAATAACAATAATAATAGCGTAACCAAATCAAACGATCATGTATTACAATTGGTAAATGAATTAGCCGAAACGATGAATTTACCCAAAACAATGGATTCAACGGCGAACAATTTCAAAGCCCAACTGAAAAAAAGTCGATTCAAATAAAAAGTCACACAGCATTGAAATTGGCGGAACTACATAAAAAAGTTAAGATTTTTCGACTTGAAGTCACTTCGAGCGCTATTATAACAAATATCCAATATTATAGTATTTCTAGTAGTTATTATTCATTTATGTTACCATTTGGATTTGGTGAATAAGTGTAGTTTTACAAGTGAGAAAACTTTCTTTTTCTTTTCAAAATAAATAAAGCAAACGTTATGTGCTTATACTTTTAATGAATAAGGAGTTTTTAAAGTATTTTATATAAACTTAACAGACATAAACATATGAATATGACTACACTAATTAAAAAACAATTAGCACGAACCATGAGCACTTGTTTTCAAACACATTCGTCTTCAGTTCATTTTTGATGTTCATGCTGTTCACTTCGATTTTAGGTGAGTATATTGATAACAAGTAAATCAAACGACTTTCTAAGAATAATATTCAAAGTGAGATGGAAAAAATGTGACAAAAGTGATTTTATTTTCATTTGTTCATTTAATTTCTGTTCGATAGTTTTTCGATAATGGCGGACACAAATTTCAACGAGGAGCTTTATGACAAATTGAATATGTTGGCAGAAAACATACAACTCGAACAGGAAACAATGGAACAGAACTTGGAACCTGATCAATGTGATGATCAAATGAAAATTACGGACATCAATCAATTTTGCCTCGAACATATTTTTATGTATTTGAATTTGGTAGAATTGCTTAGTGTAGCGGACGCTAACAAATATCTTAAAAAAGCCACAAACATCGCATTCACGCGAAAATATGGCGGAAAATCAGTCAGAATTGATATTCCATATATGCATTTTTGTCACACGAATGACATTTTTCATGTACACGATCCAAAAAATGATGAATTAATAGAGTACCACATACCACCATATTATCCATATAATGCAATTACAATATTGAAATTAAAAACCGTATTTCAAATGCTGCGTTGCTTCGGCTCAATCATAACCAAGTTGTATTTTGTGTGTGGTGCAGATTGGTGTAAAGATGGATATAAAACTGTCGATCGTATTATGGAGTACATAAGCGAATTCTGTGCCGAATCATTGATTGAGGTGAAAACTGAAGTAAAGCGATTTGAACACTACAAAAAACCTTTTTTGAATGTTGAGGAACTTATAATTCTTTCATCGACTGACGAAACGAAATGTTTGGGTTCAATTTTTCCGAAATTACGTTACTTGTGGATTGATACAGCCGAAAACCATTTTAGTTCGGTTATAGCGGATACTTTCCCATGTTTGCAACAATTGGACATCACCTATGCATATATAAAAGTTACGTATGATGAGTACACATCTGCCGTCGCTTCTGCATTGCGTTTGAATCCACATTTGAAAAGTTTAAAAATCGAACTATACGATTTTGGATTTTAAGAAGAGGTCAGTGAAATTTTGAAGTCTCTTGAAACTCTCGATGTCTATTTATCGGGTGCCAAAATCTCATTTCCTGACACATTATATAAGGGCCCGACCAATGAAAACTCAATATATTTTCAAAACGTAAAAATTTTTCGACTAGATATTTATCATGTTGTTGATGTTGATGTACCAAAAATACCCATTTTATTTGAACGATTGGAAGAGTTCAAATTGGGAGACCGTTGCAGATTAGATTCTTTGGAACATTCTTCCTTTAGGATGTTTTTCAATGCAAACCCAACAATTAAGAAATTGACACTGGAAACTCAATTTACTGAAACATTGCCGGATCCAACACTAATACACGAAGTATTACCAGCCCTTAGTGTGTTAACTTGCACTCATGCCTATTTCGATATTGATTATGTGCGTCGTCAAATCGAAAATAATTTCACGTTTTTAAAAAAAAGGAATTTCCATTGTTATTATGGTTGTCCTAAACTAGCTGAACGTTGCTCAGTGATCGATAAAATTAAAGCAATTTACTCTGATAAATGGCAAGTGAGCAATCCACACAATAACTTTGTCGAATTCAAACGCATTGAAGGTTTATGTACTAGATTATGAATATTTTTCTCATCATTCACATTATTATTGATTCATTTCATTACAGCTAATTAATTTACATCGAACGCAATTAATCGATATATAGAACGCAATGTTCTGCTGCGTAGCATCTAAAGTAGTAAAAAAATATTTTTGAACTGCAATATCCAGTGCACTATTTGTTGTATCGGACACAATGATTGCCATTGAAAAATTCTATTCGCCTATAAGTAACAGCTCTGTATGTAAACGTTTTTTTTTTAATTTAAATTCAAATTGAGTATGCATTTGCAAATATGAGCTATTTGAATAATTTGTATCAATTTGGGGTGTGGAATATGTAGGCTCAATTTGGAATTACGCTGAGCATTGTTGATACAGATTATGAATTTAAAAGAAAAACGGACAAAGAAGAGATAGCAATAAGTATATGGGCTTCACACAATTTTGATGCTGACATAAGCACACATTTTATTCCATGATTTTTATGCATTCTGGTTGTAAAGATAATTTCCAAAATAAACAATTTTACTGCACACCCAATATTTTCAAATGATAAATGAGTCGAAATATTTTGAAAACAAAAATAATATCAATCAAATATATGAACGAAATTACTAGAATTGGAGGCGCCACCGGTTTTAAAACCGACGACATTCAAATGGCCCATTGTAACATAGCGGTGAGATTTGGAACTATCAATCAAAACACAAACATCTACGTACATTTGCAATACGGCTGTTTTCATGGTTCATCTGTATTGTTGTTTTATTTTGTCAGAGATAGTGAGTGATTCAGTAATTTAACAAAGTCAAGAGAAGAAAGACGTAGAATACAAAACATGAAGACGATCTTTATAGCCTTTTGTGGCTTATTATTTTTTGGTAAGTTGAACACCATTTTATTGATTATGTTTAAGGAAAAAATGGATTTAAATCGGAATAAGTCAAGCATTTTTATTTTAAAATGAGATTTAAAAATATTTTCTGGTAAAAAGAAATTACGAAATCGTTTTGATGATAATACATTCAAACAGAAAAATGTGAACGTAACAAACACCTTCGTTTTAAGTTGTCAAACATTGAAAAATACGTTTTGCATTATACGTAAACTCGAATCATGACTAGTAGAAAATTGCGAAAATTTACAGCTAATTTGTCTACGATTTAGAATTGTATGTACGCATCATTTGAGTACATACGAATTGTACGATTTGAAAGTGCAACAAATGACATTGATGAAACTAATTTTTGCTTGAACTTGGTGTTTTTGTTATAGGGGTAGAGGCATCACCATATTTAACATCCGACTCAGCAATAAAATTGAATCCAGAATGTGCTAAAGGACCCGTACATTGGTGTCAAAGTCTGGCGTAAGTAAAAAAAAATTGTTTTGTCAATCTCTATCTCTCTCTCTCTTTCTTTTTCATTACACCAAAAATGTATCCATTTTGTACACAAATTGCCTGCATCTCCTTTTCGACGTAATTGTTGTATTTTTTTCACTTTCGTCTTCATTCGAATGATTGTGTGAGTGAGTGCGTTTGTGTGGCTGTTTTGAACAATTTCTTTTTGTTTGTCCGTTAATGTGATTAGTGCTTAGCTATATATGAAGTGATTCATTTCGTATCGGTGTTTCAACAATAGCAACAACAGCAACAATAATAACGGCTGCGCGATTGACATTATTGAATTTCTCAATATATGTATAATATCACAACAACAAAGCAATTGTCACACAATGAATTGCCTGCGTTTTTCTGTCGGGAATTTTCTTTATGTTCCACATTTAGAATACATCGCGATAGAATATCATATATATTATTTTTCTTTGACTCGGCCGTCTATCACTCGCATTATAGATTTAATCGAATTGAACATATTTTGTTTACTTCCCTTTTAATAATTAAAATAAACGACTTCAATTTGCGCGATTGTGCGTTGAATTAGCGTGCTATTTATTTAATTTCATTTTTGTCACATAATCAAACAGTTTTGCTCTATACGATCGGAAATTGGAGATCAAGAATTATCAACTTCATTTTGATGACGTTTGCATCGAAATTTTTTTTTTATAAATAAATGAATTCAGAACGCACTTTTGCACGAATCGTCAATTTTTTATTTTGACTGAAACTAAATCAACACTCGAGAGTATTGAGTATATGGTATCAAAATCAATTGCGTCTCATTACAATAATGGGCCGAACTGTAAATATGATAGTATTTTGCGATCGGCAACTTCGATGATAGACTTTTCGCGATACAAACAACCATTTGCGCTCATTTTGCACTTTGGATGTCGTATGACGATGTCTTGAAACGTGCGCTCGTACTTGCATGTCACAAATTGAAGGGAAAAAAACGCAGAGAAAACAACACAGAGTCTTTTTGCGACTAAATTTAATCGGAAATATTTTTCGCTACTTCTTCTACGCCATTCCATAATACTTTTTTGGAATCTAGCCACGAAAAAAAAACTAATGCAAGACTTTTGTAACTGCTGATATGAATGTCATTCACATTTGATAACTTTCATCTTAAGAAAAAATAATCGCAGTGAACGACAGAAACAATTCCATGAACATTCATAAAATCAAATATTCGAAGAATCAACCGGCAACTAATAAACATGTATGATAAAACCGCACATATGTAAATTGGCCGAGACATCACAATGTTGCCTTGAATGAATCATTCGATGATGACTCTTATGCGCTCATTAATTAACATAAACGGCGGTAGAATTTATGACACGATCTGTTAGCAATGTAGTGGATAATCATCGCATGTCATCATGTTGAATTAAGTTCATAAGTCCAATTCTCTCTTGATTTACATTACAGAACCGCTAAATCATGTGGCGCAGTGACTCACTGCATTCAAACGGTTTGGGAAAAACAAACGTATCCAGAAGACAATGATTCAATTTGTCAGATTTGCTTGGACATGGTGAAACAGGCTCGCGATCAATTGCGCAGCAATGAAACGCAGGAAGATTTGAAAGCCGTCTTTGAAGGCACCTGTGCATTCATTCGAATCAAAAAGATTCGTCAAGAGTGCGACAAAGTAGCCGATGACATGGTGCCCGAATTGATTGAAGCGTTGAGCTCGCAAATGAATCCACAAGTCGTGTGCTCCGTATCGGGACTGTGCAACAGTGCTCTCATCGATAAAGAGTTGGCAAAACACTCGAACGAAATGGTCGTGCAGATGAAATCAACCGGACTTACGTGCCGGCAATGCAACAAAGTTTCGAACATAATCTCAACGAAATTCGCAAATACCAACCGCGATAAGGTCTTGGAAAATATGTTATCCGTATGCGGTGAAATGTCTTCGCTAAGCGATGGATGCTCAGCTATCGTTTTGTCCTATTTCAACGATGTCTACGCACATCTGAAAGACAATTTGAACGCAGAAAACATTTGTCACATGGCTGGCGTTTGCGCCGATCAATTCCATCAACACGAAGAGGACGAAATCGAAATTATCCCCGACTCACAAATCGGATTCATCAAGCGCGAAGGCGATGATATTCCATGCGATCTTTGCAAACAACTCATTGTACACTTGAGGTAAGCTGATTTTTTGAATTTAGTTTAGTCTCACGTTACCTATTCTTTGTGTCTAGTTAAGTAATACATAGATTAGGAGAAAATTTAAATGTGTAGCTAACGAAATGTAATTTTCATGTATAACAGAGACTTGCTGGTTGCCAACACCACCGAATCGGAATTCAAAAATGTTCTCGAAGGCATTTGCAAGCAAACGAAATCATTCAAATCCGAGTGTTTGAGTTTGGCCGATCAATACTATGACGTGATCTATGCTAAACTTACACAAGGATTGGATCCAGATGGTGCGTGCTTCATGATTGGCATCTGTCCAAAGGGCTTAACTCAGCAGCCACAACATTCATACGAAATAATGCCATTGGTACCAAATAGTCAGCTACTCGTCAAGAAGAAACTTTTGGGTGAAAATGAACCAGTATTCTCGGCTCAAGCGATACAAAGCTTCCAGTTGCCCAAAGATGTGTTGCTCTTGAATACGGAACAACTTGCAGCTAACGCTGGCCAGAAAAAGAGCAACCAATTCTGCACACTCTGTGAATATTTCTTGCATTTTGTCCAAGATGCATTGGCCTCACCGCAAAATGAAGAGAATATCAAGGCCTCAGTGCTGAACATGTGCCACAAAGTTCGCAAAGAATTCCAATCCGAATGCCAAACATTTGTTGACCAGTATGCCGATGCAATCATTGCTCTGTTGATCCAAGAAATTGATCCATCACAAATTTGCCCGAAATTATCGGTTTGTGTGCAATCCACATCGACGGCCAACGAAAAATGTCCACTTTGTCTGTTCTTGGTGCAAGACATTGAGGATCAATTGCAACACAACAAATCAAAACAGAATATCGAAGATAAATTGCATGTTCTGTGCAATCGTTTGAAAGATGATTTGAAGGCCGAATGCCTTGACTTTATCAACACGTATACGGCTGAACTGGTTGATAAATTGGCTAACGATTTTTCACCACGCGATATTTGCTTGTACTTGAAATGTTGTACGGATAAAGAGGAAGTACTTATCGAGAAAATTGGAGATAAAGCCAGCTACAATGATTATCGTATGTACATTTTTTATCGTTGTAGCGTTGTGCCTTTTATTTAAGAACGGATATCATTGTTTCTTATCCATTTTATTTATAATCCACAGTTACAAACACGGTTTATGAAGTTGATTCGGAACAAGTTTCCGCGCCTGAATGCCTTTTGTGTAAGGAATTGGTGAAAAAAATGGAGAAAAGAATTGCGGAGGATAAATCAAGGGTTTGTATTTATAATGCATCTTTTGTTATGTATTAGGCTTCGAAAGGATTGTGGCTAATCGGCGAGTTTTCCGGCTTTTTATCTTCCATTAGGATCATATCAAAAAGGTTCTTGAAGAGGCATGCCACTCTCTGCCGAAAGTCACAATGAAAAATAAATGTTTGGCTGCAATTGACAAAGAATCCGATTACATTGTCGATTTACTCATCAAAGAAGTCACACCCAAAGAAGTATGCTTGGCCTTGGGATTCTGCTTTGCAAAAACTGAATTCGTTCAAATGGTTCCATTGCCCGAAATTAAACCCAAACCAAAGCCAAACCCATACGTATGTCGTGTGTGTGAAGTTGTCGTCAAAAAGGTTGAAGAACAACTGAACAACAAAACCGCACAAGAAGACGTTGAAAATTGTGTGAAACAAGTTTGTACCGCTCTACCAAATTCGTTCCGACCACAGTGCAAGAAATTCATCGATGCATACGCAAATGAAATCATCAAACACTTCCCAAGCGAATCACCCAAAGTACTTTGCACAAAAGCCTGTCTGTGTGAGAGCAGCGAAGAAGAAGCGCCCGAACAATCTCCAGAGATTGGTAAGTGTGGTCTAGCATAACTTTTGTTTGACAAAGACAGAAACAAAACAAACTTCATTGAGTCTAAATTCGAAATCTAATTAAAATCGTTGATTGCTCACAGATGAAGATGCTGCTCCCGAATGTATTTTGTGCGAACAATTGGTGAAAGAAGTGGAGAAGAAAGTCGAAAATGATAAATCACGGGTAATTTGAAATGGATTTTTCCCCGAAAATCACACAGAACCACATAAGTTAGTGTGAATTTTTAATGTTGTTCTTTGGCAATATTTACAGGAACATATCAAACAAGTTTTGGAGCAAGCTTGCTCAAAATTCCGCAAGCACGACTTGAAGGAGAAATGCATTGAAGTCGTTGACAAGAATGCGGATTACATTGTCAATTCGATCATCCAGAAAGTATCACCAAAAGAAATCTGCCATGGACTTGGATTCTGCGACGCAGAAACACTTGCAGTTGCACAGAAAATTGAACAAATGTCCGATCAATTGATGGAAAAGTACTCAGAAACGCCACAATGTGTGCTGTGTCAATTGATTGCAACGAAACTAGAAGCCGATTTGAAAAATAAAAAAACGGAAGCGGAAATCGAGAATGCTGTTCGTCAGGTTTGCCATGCATTCCCCGGCAAATACACAGCCAAATGCAAGAAATTCATCGAAGAATATGCTGACCTCATAATCAGTATGCTTTCAACCGTTCCACCGAAAGAATTGTGCGCCGAACTCAACTTCTGTCTTAGCCATTTGAGGAAAGACACGAGCCAACGCGACGTTTTGGAGTGCGGCATTTGTAATACGGCTGTTGATAATTTGGCCACCGTTCTTGAGAAAAATGGACCAAAAGATAAGGATATTGTCGCTGAAACAACGTGCCATTTGATTGCAGCGAAATACTATCAACAGGTTTGTAGTGCAACATTTGCTCAATGCTCTTTCAAACAGAAACACAGTGTCATGCGTTCTTATTTCCATTCATAGTGCCATGATTTCATGAAAATCTACGGTGTCAGTGTGACAATGTTGCTGAATAGATCTGAAAAACGTTCAGAGATTTGCGTGAAAGTTGGAAAATGCTTCCGAAACGGCAACAGCAACATATTCGTTGAAATCAACGGAGGTATTTATTTGAGAAAAAAAAAATAGAAAATGTTTTCATAATTGAAATTGAATGTGATTTTTGTGATTTAGATGTATATGCATCTGATGAATCTACCGAGTCAGATGAATCCATCGAATCTGTCGAATCTCATGAAAAGACACACAGAAACCGACCATTGATTGGAGCAAACAACAAGTGTACATTTGGACCAAGCTACTGGTGTTCATCCGAAGCAACAATGAAGGAGTGTAATGTAAGTGTCACCTAAACACTTAACTTTTCAAGTCAAAGTGCAGAGAAGAAACCAACAATTTCAAATGATATTTCCGTTTATTTTTCTCAGGCACATGCATTCTGCAACACTCGATACAAGATGACTACAGCTCCATAAAACAATAGACCGCCAAAAGATGCGAAAAATGTTCAGCTCCTTCTTGACAGATGATATCAACTTCAAACTGTCAATGATCAACGCGAATCGAGAAACTTTTTTTTTTTTGAAAAATCTATTCATCGACGTAAAATAGAACCAAAAACTAAACAACAACAAAAAAACAATAAAGAAAACAGTTGATAATTCAAGGCCTTTAATAAAAGTAAGAAGAATTTTTTTTACCATATAAATAACAAAGAAATTACCAATTGAGATAAAAACTGTGTGAAATGGAACAGTCAACAAGACATAGGCAACTTATTCAATTTATGTCTCAGACTAGAGTTAGATGACATGGCTATGCAATTGAATTAAGATAAATAATTGTTTGTTTTAAAATAAACTTTTCGCGAATAAATTGATATGTAAAAAAAATTGTGTCTATTTTTATGCTATACGTGACTTTGAGGTCATAGAAGAGAAATCCTTTATTATTGGAATTATTATTTAGTCATTGCATTCATCTAAAAGAAGCCACAGGTTCCATTCCATTAAAAACATTAAAGCAGATTTGAGGAAAACCTTGATTTGGTTGGAAAAAATGGGGCAATCATTTCCGGTATTTTTCATCGAAATTCTTGTAACATTTTAGTAGGCGAAAAAACACCCATTGATAAGCCAATTTACTCTCATCAAAGAAAAAAAACGAGGTTATTAAAAAGAGTTTATTCTGAACGGGAAATTGCTGCATCAGTGCTATTGCTTATTGCAAATTAAATTCAACCTTTTGTGTTTCCGAATATT